ATGATGATGATGATGATGATGATGATGATGATGATGATGATGATGATGGCGGCGGCGGCGGCGGCGGCGGCGGCGGCGGCGGCGGCGTACACCTTGAGGCGTTCAAATCCCTTGTGTGCTTTAACACCATGACTAGCCAAGAAGGGGTCGTCGATCTATGCGCACCCAAACAGTAGGCCACGTAAGGCATAGCTGATAAACCTTTGGGACTGCATTGCGAAGAGCATATGGAGGAAGTTCAGGAAGCAAAATGTAGTACTGACGGTGAACTTGAGGTGTACCCTATAGGACCTATGATGGAAGATGCGCACCAGGTCAGTCTGCGAGAAAAGGGTTTCACAAAATGCCGAAGGTAGGCTACTGGAGACCTATTTGAGACTGTGACCTTGTTGAGTGCATGGTAGGCATCACAGGGTCACCAGTGGTCTAATGTAGCCCAAGGCATCATTTGCATATGGGTCAAGTGATTCTCATTTGCATCATCTATTCGAAGTATGTATCGCAGAGGGTAAAGTAAGTTAAATCCTAGCAACTGCGATCTTCAGAACATGGTTACTTAGTAGAGGAGAAGTCAGTGGAGGCAAGAATAAAAGGAATAGTTGATTGTGCACACAGAGGAATGGAGAATAGATGGAATAAATCTGACTTGGGAGCATACGACCAGCCAGGGGGCCGGGTGGGTTCCAAGTGCCAGTTTGACAGCAGTCAGACCAGTGGGCAGAGAGAGCAATTTACGCATGCAGGCTTGCTATTCCTCGCCAAGCCAGAAAGTAACGTTACGGCAACTGTGATTGGTTGTTCCCAGATGCCGAAACCAACTTCTGTGAGTCTTCGGGAAAGTTCACTTCGATGCGAGCTAGTCACTACAACTGCCCCCTTCCGAGACCGAAATTCGATTGATAAAAAGGATCGAATGGAGGAAGAAGAAAAAAGTTTAGAAAGGGAGATACGTACCAAAGTAAGGTTGCAAAACAGCGAGGGTGGCTGTGACTGGAATGAACCCGGATGCAGAGGCGGCTGAAGAAAGCCGGTGCTTCGGTAAACCGT